CTTTCAAATCCTTGAATTCACAAGGCCTCACTACTTGCCTTAAGGCAGCAATAAAGTCCGCAGCAGATTCACCAGGCCTCTGGTCCCTCTGCTCGAACGCGTGTTGCCAAGCAATCACTGAAAGTTTAGGTTGGAAATGTTCTTTCAGCATCTTCTTTAAATCTGCATAAGACACTGAATCCAAAAGCGCTGGGGCCACCAGATTCTCTGCTCTGTCAAATGTTTCCTGTCCACAGACACACAGCAGGGTAGCCGCTTTAAGGCCGTTTTCTCTTATTTGATTAACCCTGAAGTCATTCTCCAACCCCGCCACGTACGAATTCCAGCATTCTGGGTGGGCAATATCAAAATCTGACAAACGGCCTATTTTAGACATCGTAGCCTTCTGCAACCCTTGTTAACGCCTTCGCTGCAAGCCTGTTATTTGGGAAGGGGTCCCTTACCGAGCTGACCTCCAGCGATGCTGTACTGGCAGGCTGAGTCGCGATGCTGGATGCCGAACTTCCCAGGACTTTTTTAGTGAGTCCTCTCTTCTTCCGTTGTTAAATGTAGCTTACAGCGATCCCACCTTCGTCGTCACTGTTAGATTCGCGGGCCCAAGGCATTACAAGGAAACGACTTGTGTAACAACACAGCTTCTTTATTGATCACACACTCAGCAATAGAAAAAATGGCGCGCAGGCCTTTTATAGTGTCCACGTCCCGGACAACATCAGCCAATGAAAACCAAGCTGTTTTCGCGCCTTGCACATGCGTACAAGGCTGGAGACAGCCAGTCTGGTCCTGGGCAGCCTTGTGGTTTGCCCAGGACCCTTTGCAACATTTCTGAGCCTGCTGAAAGCTTCACCAGGCTCAGGACATAACATGTACCTATGTGTATTTATTTAATCCAATCTATAAAGCCACCCATGTCACAAGCAAGGATGGCATACAACAAAACTAAAACAATGGTTAGAAAAGTATACTGCTAATGGGAGAGCATTCCATATCTTTATAATGTGATATCACTGTGTTTCTACTCAACATACTGGTTTTTACCAAAGATTTTATCCACAAACTGCCAAGTTTATAATTGTATTCCTTGGAACGTAAAGGAGGAAATGATGACTTAGAGTAGTAATTTTTATTTGTGTGTTTATATAAAAGCTTCCTCATTAACAGCTCATCTACTTCTTTTGCGGCACCACACAATGGCAATATAATTGTAGATTTGGGACTTTTTCTTTGTGTTACTATAGAAATGAATGTAAAGCCTTGCATAATATAAATACAGCATGTGAAACAATGATATATTGATTTTTGTGGCAAGATTAATATATATGGAAAAGAGCCTTCATATTTTGTAGCTATCTGTTGTGACATAGACAAAGATATTTGAGATCTTTAGTAGTATTGTATTCATTTTAGGGGTTCATTATTCCAGAGCATTAATAACTGTTCGGTTTTGGATAGGTTTTAATAATGTGAAAGAGTAGACTCTTACCTGCTGAGTTTTGCTATAAAAAAACAATGTAGGGTTTGTTTAGTATTTCCTAATACTAGCTTTGTTGCAGTATTAACATTAGGAGCAATCCCAGAAGTATTAATACATGCTATCCTTTTGCAAACATATTTTAGAGATTAAAAGTGAGGAGGATAGATGTACATGCAAGGACCATCCACAGTAATCCACTGTGTTATTGTTAAACATAATAATAAAGTTTAATAATAACTATAGTTAAACATCAATAAAATATTAAACTGATATTGTTCTGACCCAATTTAACCTTAAAGTTTTAAACAATGCACCTACTCTGATGTGTGCTATAAATTAGTTTTAATTATTGTTATCATTCATTGTCATATTAAATTCTAACCTGTGTAGGAAAAATTACTACAATTTATAACCAATTTCTAAGTACTTAGTTACAAAACAATATTTTGACAGAACAGACATATTCTGAAGAATGTATATTAATTTCAGGTTTCCTGAAGGAGAATCATGGTTTTAATATGCTTTTGAATAATATTAATCCTAACTCAAGAAAGTCATTTATGACATACCAACAGATTTCTTTGCTTTGCAAATAATTTATATGTCTCATAATTCATTTGTGGAATGAATAAATGCTCACTGTTCCCAAAAAAGATGTTCTGTTTTAATGCAGATCATGAAAGTTTTATTACTTCTAAGAGAATAATTTCAAGTATTTCAATCAAAAAACAACATCAAAATCATACTTCAAAGCTAAAATGTTACCAGATATGCATTTTGTCATATGTGCAATACAAATTTATCAATACAACAAATACAACCATAAACTTGGACAAAATAATACAGAGAGAGAGAGAGAGAGAGAGAGAGAGAGAGAGAGAGAGAGAGGATATATTGTTACATTTAAATATCGTATTGATATTTAAATGATATTTTACAAATTACACTATTTGAGGTGTTCAGGATTATTTTACACTTATTTGATTTAATTGACTAACTTGCATCTTGCCATTCACTCCTATTAATTTAATTTACTGTGTTAATTCATATGGTTAGGTAAGTTGACTGCAAATGTATTAACATCTATATGTTAAACTATAATGTTACAATATTGCTAGATCCTTCATAAGTAATGTATAAAATCTTTCCATTAGGGAGTAACTAGGAAAATGCAGTAATGTAGACCAATGCTGCAATGGGGGTTCAAGAGAAAAAGAATCAAAGCTATAAATTATATCCCAAGCTATGTTTAGATATATTAAATGAAGTATTTTCAATAAAAGATCAGGATTAGGCCAACCAGAGACTAACACTCTATCTCTTTCTTGTATGTCCAGAAGATTATATTTTAATTAGTTACAGGTTAGCATTAAGTACAAATCTAAACTGTGGTTACTCCTAATTATTGATGGTAAAGCAAGTCAGTCTGATAACCATAGTATGAAGTTATTTGTTCCACTAATCACAGCTAATATTTTAATTTAATGTTTGTTTTAAGTTTGAAGCTTGTTTTAAAAAAATATGGAAAAGATTTGGGTCTGCCTTTTATTTTATTTAGATAGATAATTTTCCTTCATTAAAAATATTAATGATATACAGTAAAACAAATCAATAAATCAATATAAAGGTTAAAATTGAAAAAAGGAATATGACATCAAGATCATTAAAAAGTATAGCAAGGTAAGCTCAGACAAAAACAAAACCTGAGTGAGCAGATAGCTACCTAGACCTGACTCCACCTCTAACTAGATAGGAAGCCAATTCCATATTAGGGGTGCCTCAACTAAGAATGCCTTCTCTGAGCTTGTTATTTACCATCCACCCACTTCAGTCATACTCTTCCATAGAAGTAGGTTGACAAAATAGGACTTTTGGAGGTCCAGAGAAGTTTAGGATAATATGATTGTGCTGCTTATTCTGCCATGATTACTTCCAGACACTGTTAACAATCTAAATAGCATCTTCTAATTCAGATAGTCATTCTCAATGACTTCGTAATAGGTGTTGAGTAAGCATAGCAGTGACTGAAAGAAACCTGTAGAACTCACAACTATGTTACTGTGATTTTAAGGTATATATGTGAGTGAAGAATGACAGTACTGTGCTCCAGATCCCCACTCACAGATTCCCAGTTTCTCAAAATCAGAAATTAGCTCATAACAGGAATAGTCCTAATGATTATTGAAACTGCACAGTAAGCAGCCACTAAATTTCTTGAGTATTTGCACTTTGTTTGTTAAAATATATTGGATCCAGTGGCTTTCTTTTAGAAGTGGACTTGCTATTGCTTTCTTCAAAGCATTTCATACCTGTCCCTTTTTTATGGGTGTCTTTATGACTCACTGCTCTCAGGCACCTGTCCCTTTCCCATTCAGTTAGATCCAAGCAGCTAAGAAAGAATGTTTAAAAGATATAATGTTGCATATATTTTAAAAACTAAAATTGTGATTTATGACACACTAAGAGGTGGGGAGTTCAACTTTTACTTTGTAACCTTTGGGGGGGTCACTTTCAGTCTTGGTTTCACCTTTGTTCGTGCTGATATTATGTAGCCATTAAAAGTGTTCTTTGAGGAAAGTAATTGCCTCAGAGTTCTTATTTCTACTGATCTCATCTATCGGAACCATGACACCTTTGTTGTCTTTATTGCACAATAGTAGCAAAAAATTAAGACTCTATGGATAATAAAGATGCTCATATAAACAATGCTCATGGAGATCATTGTCAGTGGCTTGTGATATCCCAAAGAGAAATGCTTCAGCATTATTCCTGTCACCTGGAAAATAACTCAAGAGTGTTCAAGAATTCTTCATGTTCCATGTTTATGAGGGTGGATTAACATCTTCCTTAGATATGTCAGTGGGAAAATAACAAATGGACTGTGTTCTAGAAGTTCTATTTCTTATATCAGTAGCAAGTAAATGTTTCACCTAATTTCAACTATTGCCACTATACAAAGCTCCTAGGTCCATAAAAAAGGGGCTGTGATGTTTTCTAGACAGCAATTTTGAACAGAGACTCTCTCCAGGATTTAAGAGAATATATTGCACATATGTACCATATAATTGACATTAGAATGATGTATTTATCTAATAATTTAGATCACATCATTCTAGCATCTCTGTCATATTCAGAACAGATTTAAAAATCTAATCTTTAAAATGAGAAAACAGTATAAAAATTACATATTAAGCATAAAAAAGCAGAAGTCTGGTGAAATAATAACTGAACAAATATGAGTCATTTATGTGTGTCAACAGACATACCAGAAATCCATGTCACAGGCACATATTATTTGCATTCTGCCTTATTGCTACAACTGTTGAAAAGTACTTGTGCTCAGAAACGGTCATGTTTATCTTTAATTTAATTATACTGTATTAAGCTTTGTATTTATAAAAGTCCTGAACATTTTTTAATTTTTTTTAGCTACTTGTGATTTTTAACAACATTTTTAAAAACCATAAAAGCATGTCTTTTTCATAGAAATAAACATGAGTCTGATTTATTGATACTGACATTATAGGAAATATTCAAGAAGTCATCCTGCAAGAACACTTGGAAAAAGAAGATGAAATTTTAGTTTCTTTGGCTGGGCTGAAGCAGGTATGAAAGAAAAGTAATGTAATTTTAATATTTTATTGATACATAAATCTTAATGTTATATTTTAAAAAATCAGTGCAGGGGAAAACTAAATTTTCCTAGACTAGTCATATGTCTTAGAATACCAGATAAATTTTCTCTGGGAACAGACCTTGATTGACTGAAACCCCTCCCATTTTAATTGTTACTTTCCTCATGGTCATTAGCAGCCAGAGCTTTCTGTTTTCTTGCTCTGTGACAATAGTATTCTTCCAGGAATTATCTAAAAGTCCTGCCACTATTTCCAGAGAGGTATGGCTACCCAAGTTCTGGCCATCTATTTCCACTTTCTCTCCCCCCAATATAATCAATAGTGTGGCTTTTACTGTGTACAGCCAGGGAGATAGAATCATAGTAAGCCACTACCTTCATCCCAATGATTCCCAGTTTTCCCCAGGTGCTGTTCAAAGCGTGAAATGTGAAATTCCAATTAAACTGATTTATACATTATTATTTACTGTAACTTTGCATGGCATATGTCAGCAGTTTAATGACATCAGAACCAGTTGTGATATTCTTTTAAATGCATGTGCCCTGCCTCATCATTTTGCCTAAAAGATTCATGAGTTCCCTAAAGCTTTTACTGAGAAACACTGTTGGCCATTTTCTACAGTACATGTTTTAATCATCTAAGATAGTTGATGATAGGCTAGTTCTCTCAAGAGAATCTTTTTTAGAATTCATCCAAAGAATGCATTTTTCCCCCTTATCTTCAACAGATTAAAGATATTCTGAAAGGCTCCCTCCGTTTCAATCAGAGCCAATTGGAAGCAGAAGAGAACGAACAGATTACAATAGAAGATGATCATTATTGTTCCAGCAATCAGAACAAGAAGGCAGTTGAAAACATAGAAAACCCCTCAGCTCCAAAGCAGTCTGTCCCTCTATTGAAGAAGGTAAAATGCATGCTTTTCAATGAAATCCTTGAAAAGAATGTGTCCATCAAAAAGTGTATTACTATAGTTCAAAAATAATTTAAAAACTTATACAGAACCAATCTAATGCATCCTTATGTACCAAGAAGCTCACGGAATTTGTGTGTTTTGTAGTTATAATATTTAGTATTAATTTTTCATTTTAATTTTAACAGACCTATCTTCTAGGCCAGGGGGTGCGAGATGATATTCCAGGGGGTGCGAAAACTTGGGTTTTCAAAATTATAGTGTATATGCATAATCCATTGCTGTTATTTTGTAAGGGGTGCGAGAATATATAAGAAGCATTCTAGACGTGCGGGGTATAGAAAGGGTTGGGAGCCGCTGTTCTAGGCTAACATTAAGCCATAACAGTGGTCCTTGTTTAACAACCATTCATTCAACAACCAATCAAAATGACAATAATGCTGAACGAATTGATAGTTATGTCCAGTCCTTGAAGTTAATAGTTGTTGTAGCACCCGTGTAGTCATGTGATCAAAACATACTTCAGGTCCCACAACTACCGATCGCTTCCCCATCTCTCTTTTGGAGCTCTGCATTCTGCACCCACCATCTACTACTGATACCAACCCTTTTGCTTGGCTTGGTGACCTTATAAGCAGTGAGAAGAATATAGCAAAGATTCAGGTTATATACAGCATCTTTAGCACTATAAAGTTGCTAAATCTTTATAGGAAATCAATCAATTACAATATTGTAATGTAAAGTGAGGAACCTCTAAAGCAGGGGTGTCAAACTGCCGGCCCACAGGCCAGTTGCATCATGCGCACACCAGCTCCAGCAATGTGAAAAAAGTCACGATACGTCACGACACGTAACGTGGCGAGTTTGATACCCATGCTCTAAACTAAAAGATCTGTGGCATTTACTAATATTAACTACAATACTATAAATTGAAAGTAACACATAAGAACTTATTGGCATTGGAAAAAGAGATTTTGGTATTTTTTAAAACTATAAAGATGAATTAGATACCAAAATAGTTCCCGATTATCATTCACATACTGAGTACTCCTGTTCCTAAGGCTTTGGCTCCCCATCTTTTTTAATGTCAAATTTAATTCAGTCTCAAAACTATTTATAAATTGTTACTAGAGATAGTCCTCAGCTTTGTATCAGTTGCATAAAGAAAATTAGATTCTAAATCAATAAACATAAAAGCCTTATATTACCCCAGAATAAGTTAGCTTGTTTGTTATATGGCTTTAGAAAAAAGGATAGTATAACAAAAAAAAATATTGGTAAAAGTCACTATAGTTTATAGTGGATGAACAAATAAAAAAAGATAAAATATTTTTATGTTTTTATTCTTTATATTTTTAACATTTAATATACTTATTTAATTTATATGAATATAATAAATTATAATGTATTTTATTAAATAATTACGCCTGTGATTTATATATTTAAACAAGCTAAGTTGCTCAATGAAGATGTTAGAAACTGTTTTTGTCTTCATCTCTTCTAATGTAATAGCACAAAATTTGTTCACTTTCACATGATCCCAATTGAAAAAACGTAATTTTGCGTTAGGACCATTTAAAACATCTGCTGATAATGGGGTTAGGGGGAAATAGATAAAATACAGAGTAGGTAAAATATACAGTGCAGTTCAGGAAGACTTGTGCTGTTATGTCAATCTCTGCATCTGAAGATATGCAGAGCTCTTCTTAAAAAGGAATGTTGCTAAATCTCCATTATGTTCAAAGGTAGGATATCATATTGTACACTGTTACAGAGATATATGGAGATAACATAGGTATTGTCAACAAAGACAATAAAAAGGTAAATGTAAAGGTTTTCCTATCCAGTCATGCCCAAAGTAGATTAACACTTAATGAGGAAGCTTTTATATAAACACACAAATAAAAATTACTACTCTAACTCATCATTTCCTCCTTACATTCCAAGGAATACAATTACAAACTTGGCAGTTTGTGGATAAAATCTTGGTAAAAATCAGTATATTGAGTAGAAGCACAGTGATGTCACATTATAAAGATATGGAATGCTCTCCTATTAGCAGTATACTTTTCTAACCATTGTTTTAGTTTTGTTGTATGCCGTCCTTGCTTGTGATATGGGTGGCTTTATAAATTAGATTAAATAAATACACATAGGTACACATATTATGATAAAATTAATAAACCTGATCTTGGTGAGGAAATTACAGTCAGAAGTACATAAATTATAGCTATTAGTATATTTAATTATGACAGGCAGAAAAGAATTCTGGATCAGAATTGAAATAAAAATGCTAGAAAAACAATACGCTTCACTTACGGTATTAGTTACAAAAGTTGCTTGGAATTCTGAGAACATCCAGTTTGTGCACAAATTATAGATAAAATACAGAAAATTCATCCAGACCTAGTTTCTAATAAAGCTTACTATTGCAGAAAAAAGTTATGTACCTAAAATGAAAAATATTGCAATGCAAGTTAAATGAGAATCCTAAAAAAGATTTGATAGAGATCAACCCCAAGGCAAGAAATTCAGCAAATAAATTTAGTAATGATAATACCCAAACTTAACAATTACCAATAAGAAGAAAAAATGGCACGTGGAAGTACTAGAGACAGCAGAAGAGAAGAGAAGTAACTGTAGAGGATAACAAACTATAAAGAACTGCAAATAGAAACAGAATGACTCTGACAAAAGAAAGAAAGGTAGTATCTGTGGTATTGCCTTGGGTGCAATCCCAAAACAATTAGAGTACCACTTGGATGCCATCAGCATTGACAAATTCACTATTAGTCATGTACAAAAGGCAGCTTTAGTTGGAACAGTTTACATCCTCTGACGACATCTGTAATATCATCAAACATCTAGGTTAATAAAAATTAAAAAAAAAATTATAATCCATAATAATTTTTCAAATGAGGAAAAATATATTTCAAATTATGTGGTAAAGAAAGGAAACCAAAATGTCCTTTAGTTGTAACTATACAATCTGGTGCTATTTCATGTAATATTTTTTTTTTAAAAGAATCGGTCACGTGCCTGCTGATCCAGGGCAGATTGATAGATAGATGTTTTCAATTTCTTTTTGTAGGGCTGACAGAGAGACTGCCTTTCCTCACTCCCAACTCTAGGACACGGTGCTCACTCCCATTTAATTGTTATGAAATTAGTGGAAAGGGAAGGCTTCAGCAAGTAATAATACATAAGAATGATTGACTATTCTAACATCCTATTTCTCACTCTTCAAATAAACCTAGCTCCATTGCCAATGATTTAATCTCTTTAGAGTTTTGATCCAGATATTTTGACAATTTATTCAATGCTCTTTTGGGAATCATTCCCTTGACACCTCCCCTTTTCTAAATCTTTTCTTGATTGACACTTGAAGGGTCCTTGCTTCTCTCTAAGCTTGGTTGCTTTTTTGTAGATGTTTCATTACTCAAACTAGGTAACATCATCAATGCTAGTGAGAAGTGGGGTTTGCTCCAAGTTTACATTCTTGTAGCTTGTCCTGTCACTCTTAGAGGTTCTTTGATTGGTTGTTTACTCTTGGCTTATTTGGCAGTTTTTTGATTGGAGTACTGTTTACTTGATCATTGGTCTGATCTTAATCTTGGAGTTAATCTATGCTCATCTGGATGCTGATTGCTGATGGGGAGATCTTTTGATCTTTTTATTCCTTTTTTGCCTTGTTGGTTTTCTCTTTTCCATAGTATGTAGTTATTGTTTATGTCTATGTGTTTATTGATGGCTAGAAATTGTCTAGTGTTTTTGGACTTAGTCTAGAATGGTCACAATTTCCCAACTGAAACAATGGGTTAAGTCTGCCCATATATTGTGAAATTAAAGAGTTTTCATCATGCCTTCTGACTGCTAGTTGGTGTTCATAGAAGCATTTTGCCTGTCTTCTGCCTGTTTGTCCTATATAGGGCTGGTGCAATCATTACACTGTATGTTGCAGATGATCCCTGCTTTTTCTTGGGGTTACTTAGGATAATTTGAACGGCTTTAGTTGGCTTGGGTGCTATGCTGATTCTGTGTGGTTGTGGTAGTCTGTTGGTAGTTTCTGAGATGTTCTTGAACATCTTGTATTGGTTGTGCTGTATTAGGTTGAATGGTCAGGCACTTTTTGATAAAGTTGTGTGAATATCCATTTTGTTGGAATATGTTGCATAAATATTCTGTTTTCTTTTTCTGTTCAAGGTTGCTACAGTTGGTGTTTGTCTAAAGTTCTTAGGCAGCTTCTTTTGTGGGAGGTAGGGTTGTTGCTTTGGTGGTAAAGCACTTGGTTGATGTGGGTGGTTATTCTCTACACTTTTGTTTCTAGTTTACCATTGTGATCTCTGCTGATCAGGATGTCCAAGAAGGCCAATGATATGTTGTTTTCTCCTTACCTGGTAAAGTGGATTCCTTTGAAGAAGTTGATGATTCTATGTATGTTCTTTAATTGTTCCTTTTTTATTAAAGTGAAAATGTTATTTACATATCTGATTCATATTTTGGGTTGTATTTATGGAAGTGCTGTGGCTTCTAGATGTTGCATAACATCTGAAACTAGCGATCCCATAGGTGTATTTTTAATTTGTAGGTAAATTTGTCCATCAAATTGGAAGTATGTAGTTAGGCAGAGGTTTATGAGATCCATAATCCTGAGTTTTTCAGTTCAGTATTTGGTTAAGTCAGGTGTGCTGGGGAGCAATGTGGATTCAATAGATTCTTTGGCTAATTCCAAATCTATAGACATAAACAGTGTTCACAGTGTAAAAATGATTTCTGGCCTAGATCATCTAGATCAGGGCTTTTCAACCGGTGGTACGCATACCACTGGTTCTACTTTGGTACCTGGCAGGTGGTAAGTGTATGATGGGTTGAAAAGCACTGTAAAAAAAAAGTGGTACAATCAGTGAAAAGGTTGAAAAGCCCTGATCTAGACAATGGACCATGCGCAGCAAGTTTGGTCTAAACTTAACTTAATTCTGAGGTTAACTCTGAAG